TCAATTGCATAAACTAGGTAAGATCTGGATTAAATTCACTTGCCTTCCATGGCTTTTAGACACTGTTTGAGGAGTAACAATACATTGCACCTTCCACTTTCAGAGCTCAGGAGATCTCAAACAGTGTTCACATGTTGCTAAGAGCATGGAAGGGGATAGCCTAGGGAGATCAAGGGACAGGAGATGTGTGAACTGCTGCAGGAACTGGACATAAAGCCCTGATGTGCAGTCCACATTCTCCTGACTGGGAACATTCCATCCATCACATTTCTGTACTTCTATGGATGAAACAATACAGAGAAGGAAATTTCAGGTGATCACAAGTCATACGAACTCCATTCCAAAGTAGATGGGTAACCCAAGAAAGGTGAATACGTACGAAGACAGGAATTGGAGAAGACACACAGGAGGAAGACAATCAGGAGGAAAACTGCAATTAGCTAGAAGAGGTTTTACCAAAAGCCTTTGAAAATTCTGTGTGAACAAACTGCAGTTACATTACTATCTAATAACAGAGGATGGGACAGGAGACACGACATTAGCCCTAAATATGTAAGCTCTGAATCCATATGTACCACAGAGAATTTGATGTGGGTTGGGTTAACAAGGAGCAGTGTCCAAAAAGAACAGAACAGTGCTGGCAGATGGTTCATTGTCCTCCTATTATTCCCCGTGCTTTTGATTTGTACAGCACTACCTGAAACTGAAGTAACTAATTAAAGTCAGTTAGACACAATGTATGCCTCAATGCAAGAAAACGTAGGGAGACAGGTTTACCTCATAATACTGCAACTAATAACCTTATTTCTAAGGTTCTTATTTCTATGCATTAAAAGATAAAAAGCTTTTATGATGTTACGCTCATAGATATGCATATGCTTTCATCACTATCAGAAATGGTTTGTGTTGGTACAGAGGGTGGCATTTTCATCACTTTTGAAATAGACAATACACTAAAACCCAAAAACATATCACAGGGAAGAAAAAAAAAAGATATACGGCTGAATACAAGCAAGGGCAGGTCTCTGCGAAAGCTATTCCATACACAGTGTCACACAGCAATGAAGGATCCTGCCAACTCTTGAAGTGACAATAAGCTACCACAGAGACAACACAATCTGCTCATAGATTCATTTCCCTTCCTCCTAAAGGCCAGTGATGCTTTAGAAAACAAAACTGCCACGTAGTGAACTTAACCAAATGCTAGTGGGCAGAAGATTTCTGTTGTTCTTTTCTCTTATTCCTCCTAAGAACAGGAGCCTCCAGTGACCTAAGGCTGCCCATACCATGGGATCCTGAAGTGGTCCTAGTGAGCAGACGAAGCCAAAAAGAAAACGATCACCAGAATTTTACTGTTGTCACTGAAAATGACAGTATTTTCCTCTTCTAAACAGAAGAGAGAGAGAGAGAGAAACAGTCACAGCCTGTTCCTCCAAATTCTACTTTGAGAAAAAGCTTTTTTAGTCTCAGATTCTAGACGGGGGAGGTTTATTATTATTTTTGTGCATTGCATTAAATGAAAGGAAGAAAAACAGAGGGAACAGTATCTATTGCAATCTGAGGCTTAAACATATTCAATAGAATATTTCAACAGCTTTGCCTGTCTCACAGCCCTGGGCAAAAACATGTCCCCTTCCCTGCTGTTCCTTTATTTCATGCTATAACGCTTCCAGTTCTCCCTTGGAAAAGAATTATGTACATTATCTGCCTGTTGTACTGAATCTCTTTCCTTTGGCCACATATAACCTTTGCAGAAGTTGCTCCATCATTACCAGTAAAAGCTTGAATCATTTGGTACAGGGAAGAAATAGCGCCTGTTAAAAGTGCCTTGATGAATTAAAAAAAAAGAAGGCAAGTTCCTCTTGCTAAATACTATCTAAAAGGATGATGGAGAGCTGAAATAAAAAGTGAATAGAAAAATATGCTGAATGACATTTTCTATATTTTATTGTTATTATTTTTACTATCTTGCATAGTTCTGTCTTTGTGGTTTTACCTAATTAATCAGATACAGTTCTATTCAGCCCATCTGCACCTCTGGACCTGTCCTCGTGACACTACCTTCTACATATCCCTTCACCATTTCAGACTGATGAAACTTCAAACATCTCAGCTTTTTTTCCCCCCATTCTTGTTAGCCACTCCTCTCTGCTATCCTTGTACAAAACCCACTTCCCTCTCTTCTCCAAATAATCACATTTTCCCCCATGCCAGGTCCTTCCTGACAGCCCCCTGTATGACAGTTTGTAGAATCCAAACAAATACGGAAAACACACAGACTGTTTCGGGAAAACCTCAGAATATTATGACTTGAGAACTGGTCCTTTCTCTAACGTCAAAGTATTAAGCTCACCTAAGTCTAACTACACGAGTGTGATTCTGAAACTGGCTGAGTAATTCTGCTCCCACCGAGCTGGCACTTCCTGCACATCCTTATTGCTTCTCAAAAGTCAAAGAGCAGGTCAGGATAAAATCCCTCACACTGCCTCCTTAACCACCTCCCATATTCACTGTGTTTTCCCTGCACAAAACCACCCATCGGACCACTGACATATATTAAACAAACTACATGAAAATATCAGGATCCTGAAGCAAGAACCCTTTAAGAAAAGAGATGCGCCTTTACAAAAGCATTCATAAGGAAAAATTATTTTCTCATACACTGAGCGAAACGAGGCAGGAAGAATCACAGAGCCAGCAAGGACACTGGCAAATTACCAAGTGTTGCCACACCAGTGGAATTGTGCAGGCTCATCCCTGGATACCACGAAGCACTGCTCAATAGCCTGACTCTGAATGACGAAAATTCATACCTCATGGACTTTTCTGCACAGAGACGTGCCGAATTAAAATCCTGGGACGAAACGCATTCCTCAAAACGAAAACATGGAAAATTCCTGCAAAAAGCCAAGTCTGAAGCAGCCGTGACTCAGAGGGACAACTTGAGCAGGACAGGTGCCAAGGATGTCTGTTCTCTGGATTGATTTACAAAGTAAGATTCTTCGAAACCAGAAGACGTTCCGCATCTCATGTGAGCAGACAGTGACTCGAGTTCAATGTATCTCATCGCCATCTGGAAACTCTACAGGCGAGGATATCTTCTCTACTGAGCTCTTGAACAGAATTAGTTTTCATCCAGCTGAAATCTTTGTTCTGAAGCTGTACAATCCCTGCTCTTCTCCCTCATAAGTCAGTTTTATGCCTTTTCCATGTGGTTTTGATATACTCATAGAACTGGCGACCCAGATAAAAACAGCCTAATGCCTCAAGGAAGGGACCCCCAAGATAAGGACTCACACAAAATATTATTCTCAGCATCACCAAGTACTGTGTTCTGCATTGCTGCTCTTAGCTATGACCTTTCATAAATGATATCAGATGGTGTCTGCCTTATCCAATAGCCTGTACCATTGTTCAAGGCATGCATGCACATACATAACATTAATTTCTCTAGCATATTAATAAAAGCAGAAGAAAATAACAATGGCAAATTGGGTACGGATTTATGCTGATCTGTTTCTGCAGTCTACCTCCCTTTATAAATTATATTTATGCATTTTCATTTCCAGTTTCTTTAAATATGAATATTACTGACTAATTATCTTGTTACTGTGATGGACACAATCCAAAACCCGATAAAAGTAGGTCATCGTTTCAGTTCTGGTTATAAATTTTGTGGCTTGAGCCACAAGTGATTGAAGACTTCAGCGAGCATGCCCAAGAAAACCGGACTGCAAATGAAGTTGTCTTGATTTTATTTTCCCCCTAAAGAGAAGGGTTAGCTCAGCATATTGCTCACAGAGACACACAAAGCACAACGGCTTGTGTTGGGCTGCTGCCATTCAGCTTCATGCTGCATCCCCATCTAGAGTCATTAATCTTTTACCACCAGGAATGCAATCAATCATGGTGTGGTGTGGTGGTTTTTTTCTCTTTTCAGGGGAAAAAGACAAAAATTATAGTAATTTTTATGGAAAACACTGCACGGTACTCCTATCAATAACAGTAATTTTTCTTCTCACTACATGCTAACAGATTTGCTGACTGAAACCTGCTTGTCTTCCCAGTACACAAAAATGCGGTAATTTAAAAAACATACAACCAATAGAAAAAACACATGAAGAAGCAGTCTGCTTAATTCTGCTGTACAAGGTAATAAATGTCCTTTTGCTGATAGCTGGACCATAAATAAAAAGGATAGGGCTGCGAAAAAGCTGTTTATGTTACTTCAGAGGTTATTTTCAGGCAGAAACATTTTTCCATCTAGTCCACGACAAAAAAACCTTTGCCTAAACTACGACGCAAGTTTTGATTCAAAACTTACCAACCCCCCCCAATCTAACCAACTCCAATGGCAGTTTTGCTTGAATTAGTGCTGTTACTTGTGCATATATGAAGGAAAAATACATCTATGAAAGTATATAAACCGATGCCACCCCTTCTGCCCCAGCTTCACTCATGTCCTAAGTCAGAAATGCCCATTTCCAGTTGTATGAAAATCTCATTCACACTGTTCGCAGCCCTGGTGATCTGAGAACTAGCTTGAGCTCAGCTCTCACTGGGGTCAGTAGGAGTTCTGCCTGCATACAAATGATGATCCATCCACCTTCCACCCCTTCAAAATACGACATTTGTCACACGTATTCACCTTCATCTTCATTATTTTCCTTGGACATTTTACAACCTAGCAATTCTTTAAAATTGAATGGTACAATCTTTTCATTTTTTTCTTTTCTTTGGTTTTAAGAGACACACAGAAGATAGCCATAGACACAGATTGCTCCCCCCACCTCCACCCCCTTTTTTTTTTTTCTTTCTTTTTTTAATCCATAAGGTAATTGGCTTTCTGGAGAACTAACTGAATTTCCCAAATTTAATTTTAAGAGATGCTCCATAATATCCATTATAGCAAACACTGTCCTGCAGATTCGATTAGTAGGCTCTCTGGACCTGCTTATTTCTGGATTGAAAGCGCAGTACAGCCTGGATAAACGAATTACCTGAGCAGCGGAACTTCTTGCTCTTGATCTGGCTGATGCGTTTGTTGGCAAGGCGACGCGGATTGCTGCATCGAGCGCCGCTGGTTTCTATCGGATTATCCTGCAGGTAATCAGCCAGCCACTTCAAATGGCAGTCGCACACAAATGGGTTCTGAGCTAAATGTCTGCGAGAAGGATGGGATGTTTAATCAGAAGTGACCTGTGACACTGTACTCCATCACTGTTTTTCACAAACGCAAACCTGAAGAGGAGAGTAATTGAATAAGCTTCCCAAAACCCAGGCCTGGCGGAAACCACACCGAGCTGCACACGAGCGGCAGAATTCTGTGAGCTATCGCGTTTCGTAGCTCGTTAAGCCTGCTGCAAGGCCTTTCACAGAGGAAACAGAAATTAAGATAGCAAAGCCTGCTTTAAGGGACACAGACCTTCCGTCTGCAAAGTCCAAAGCTTTCTCCTAAGAGCCTGATATGCTGTCTTTTGAGAGAAATGCACCTTTCTAGAGGAATCTGACCTGAAGAGATCATTTTCTATCCTGGTTTAAAAAGAATTTGACTGGTTACCTCAGTTTCCTAGGGATCAAAATGTGAATCAGCAAAGCGCCCTAGACTTGTGGGCAAAGCCAAAAGAGATGCAGAGGTCTTTTCTCGGTATTGAAACTGTGTATATTCATCAAGTGTAATACTATTCTCCTCATATGTATATTTTCCCAGAGCAAAAATTTTTACTTTTGAGACTGAACTGTTATGCAAGGTAGAACCTGACTCCATCTTTCACCAAAATTTGCAGAACGTATTTCCCACTTAACTGGAAATAGATATTACCACATTGATTTTAACTGGATATTTAGAATTTCTTAACAGAAATCTGCTGAAGTATCTTGGAAAAAAATAGCATTTCTCTGCTGTTGCTATGATTCGTTCTGCTTTGCAAAGTTGAACACTATGTCAGGAGTTTGTCAGGTCTTTCTCAGAGCCTGGTTCTGATCTCAGCTAACTTGCACCAGGTCCCTCTAACTTCCAAGGGAGCAGGGCATGGCTCTCCAACAACTGCAAAGGCAGATGTTTAAATTTGGTTTGGACAGAAGCATAAAGTTGTAGACTCACAAGAACTCTGCTCTGTTAGTGTGTTTTTTTCTACCTGTTGAAACTTCTTCTCTTTTCTGTTTGCAGTTATATTTATGAACTGTCACTTAACAGAGTAAGTATAGAATACAAGAGGGCAAGGGCTGTCAAGGAGTGGGAAGTGAAAGCAAACACAGCAGGAAGTGCCTGGAGAAACACAAGAATATAGTTCTCGTGTGAAAGGTCCAAAGAACAGACAAGCATATAGAGACAGGACATGGGGCTGGTTTGGTAGCTCTAGAACAAAAAACCAGAAAATGGCAATCACTTGGAGTACTAAAAATGGGGGAACGAATCAAAACACTTCTTGAAAAAGTGTCTTGGTGTGAAGCAACATGTCCATTCTAAGTAGCAGTCACCAGGAGTGCCAAGAGAAACCCATGGAAATCGAGGAGAAATTTTTATGCCCGAAGTGTGTATACTGTTGCTTAACTTGACAAATCTCATATACCTCTGCAAATGAATCTTCTCTGTCACCCTTGTCTACAAATACATCCACATACATATATGGCATGTTGCAGGAGAAGAAAGCACAGTAGAGGCGGGGAGGCAGGACTGGGGTATGGGGGAGTTGTACATCATTATTCTAATGCCTAGTTTGCAGCAATACATACTGGCCAGGTATCTGTTGGAATTAAAGGCTGTGCTTGTGGCTGCCTGAGGAGGTAGCAAGTGCCCTGCTGCTAGAAATCCTCCCTGTTACTTCATTTTCATGTGAATTAAAACATTTGTAAAACTCATTTGGCCAATGCATTTCCAATATTAAAATGTATACATGCCTGTGTATTTAGATATTTCCACTACTATAGTGCGTGCACGCATATAAATACATAATGTGCACATACATTTTGGTGTGTGTGTGTGTATATATATAAATATACACACATATTTTAATACTAGAGACGTATATACTACATAAACACACAGTCTTGTATCTATATACGCACATACAAATATATAAGAACTCATGCAATGTTGGGTGAGGGGGTTCTTCTCTGTTTTTCATTTATACCAGGCTGCCAACTCCAGCTCTGCAGGAGCACTGTTTTACCTTATTATCCTACTACTCACAGCGTTAGGATGAAATCTTCCTCTGTAAAATACTGAGTCATTTCTATACTTTTGCTTTCAATTTTGCTTCTCATCCCTCTTCTTCTAATAGCTCCAATTCAAAGACTCTCAGAAAATGTTTAGTGGATTTTCTTAACGGATCAAATAACACCATTGGAATGTCAGCTGAAATATGGAGTCAGAAATCACAACTGTACAGCAGGACTCCAATGCAGTAAGGAGAGATGCCAACTCACTACCTCATTAAAAACTGTTAGGCAATGACTTCAATAGAATCTGCTGTTCATATATTATACAGAGAAAAATCCACGTATTATCTTCCTAAAAACCAGTAAGAATTAATCACCTCTGGGAGCTTAACACACTTATGGCACTTATGCCACTATGGGCAGACTGTCTGATGGCTAGTAGAGCTGAATTTATGCAATGCTTCTTTTTCTTGTTCCTTTTATTTCTGTCAGAAAAGTAGGGGCTATGACCCAGGGGTCTCATCAAAATTGTCTTAATGTGAGATGCAATGCCTTTGCTGAGAAATGCAACATCTTTGGGGAAAAAGGGAGCAAGCTGTCATTTATGATATGCGTGCATACTCACAGAGTCTGGATCGATCGGAGAGGTGCAAAGAGCCCCTTGCTGATGGTCTGCAGTTTGTTGTCATAAAGAGATAGCAGTTTGAGATTATGCAGACCTTGGAACGTGTTTACCCTCAGGCAGTTGATCTTATTGGCATTGAGGAGCCTGAAAACAGAAGAGAGGTTTAGAATTCATTAATCTTGTAATAGTCAAATAAAGATAGACTGAACTTTGGGGTTAAAACTAAAAAAAATATTAACCCAGTTACCAAACCCAACCTACATTTAAAGGTCTTCATTGGCCTGTTACATTAGGAAGGTGAAAGAAAGGGACAGTCAACATTAGTACTCTTCTAGGTGGGGAATATACAGACACATAACAGTGCTAGCTATCTTAAAATACTTCCTACAGTTAATTTTCCTACAGGGTAATTTTCCTACAGGGTAATTTTCATATCAGGCTGCAGGAACAGCTCCTCCCATGCATTTGACTTCTGAGATTTTGCTCCAACAGCAAACATCAGTGCCACCTCTTACTATTTGCTTCTTACAGCCATTCCTGTGTCCAAGCCAAAGCAATCTTCATTCTCTCTCTGTTCTTGCACATTACACATTTCTCTTTTGAGCTTCTACATTATCTTCTCCATAAAGAATAGGTTAATGAGTTATTACAAGGCAGAATCAGCTACCAAGTTTTGGACAATATTCTCAGACTTGCAGCTAGGCATTACAAATCCTCTGGGATCTACCCTCTGTCCTTGTGAACTGGTCCCACATTGTTTTTAGGTAATGCACATTAGCCTAGATTGGTCGTTCCATGGCAGAGGCTGAGCTCCTAATTTACACAGAAAGAAAACTGGAAGTGAGTGTGTACTGCCATTTATTTTGCTAGATGCCATTTTTTTCCTAACATTGTAGTAATATTCTAAGTCACAGGCAGTACTTGAAACAAAGCGTAAAACAAAAATGAAAACAATCTTGGTAATAAGAAAATTTACAACTGAACTACTGTTGTATTTGTATATGTGGACAACGAGCATGTCCTTCTGTGATGCTGTAGAGGTGCACACAGAGCAGAGCTGTGTTGTGCAGACGCTATTCACTCCTGTGCAAAGAGTGGGCTCGAAGTCTAACCATCACTGATCCTGCTTAATAAACCCTCAGAGCAAAGCTGACCTTAGAACTGTGGTGAATACACCGGATTCAAATCCATTCTCTGATTAGTTTCAACAGAACACGAAGAAACCCAATGCTGGAAATTCGAATTTACAGTATCACAAGTTTTCCTGGCATGAATCTTCAATTACTAGATCCACTGTGATATCATCTGTGACACTTCTGTAACTGCCAAATACCAAAAATGAGAGAATCTGATCCTACACATAGCCACAAATACCGGGGCACACTCTTTTCTTGAAGGATCAGAGAAAATAATTTGGAACAGGAACGTGCTTGTGCAAACTGTTTACAAGTGGGAATTCAGCTACTACCCAGCTTTTCTAGGGTGACACCACCTATTCTGTATATGAGCTATGCAATATATATCCAGTACCTAAACCTAAAGAGGATGGAGAGCGTGCTCAACAGTAACACAGGTGTGGCCATACTCAGTGGATCATGAGATAGATTAATGTCCTGTTTCTAACAGCGAGAAAGAGGGCAGGGAGAGGGAAGTGAAAATCTGTGAGAAAGCTTAATAAATCACACCTAAAATTTTTTTCTTCCTATTTACTGTGAGTTCAAGTATGACTTTTGCCCAGAAACATGAAGGTTTAGATTCCTTTCAAAACTCATAGTTATTTTAAAATACCTCCTCTATGGATATTCCCCTACATAAATTCCAAATCTTTGCTTAATCTTTCTTCACTATCACAGACCCCCTAATGGCACCTAATTATTAATTAGGTATACAAGACTGGCCTCACATGGAGTTAAAAGCGGTCATAAGATTTATTTTCTTAAACTAAAACAAAGGCAGATGAGAAAAACATATTCTAGGAAGCAGAAACACCAGCCTTACTTAAACACTGAACCATGCTGTAAATCACACTAAGGGTTCCTTTTATTGGAGTCGCACCAAAAGAAGGGGCAGAGTCTTACTTTAGCGAGAATTACATGGTATTTATTTTTCACCAGTTTATGGCGAAAGTAAATTCCACCGCTTTTTCTAGTTTGTTATCAGCTTGATTGGATGAGATTTACACACGGCTTCCAGATGTGGTGCAGCATTCATAAGGAGGTTAAAAATTCAAGTAGAAATAAAACCGCCTGCTACCCAGAGGGATGATGCTTTATTAACCCAAGTCTCCATTTTCATCCCTCTGGATACGTTAAAAATATGAAGAAATCTCTTGCAAGCCCAGGACCACCACAGAATACCAGAGAGGGGTTAAAGACCTCGTGGTTTACACACTATTGAAAGCAATGAGCAGAGCAGAGCAGTATTACAGTTCCATGAACCCCTTTCTCGAAAAAAAGTGAATTTGTCCACACACACTGAAATAATCGTGTGTTTCAGCTAAGCCCCTTGAACGAATGCGTGCTGAATTGGCACTCTAATTGTATCAGATGGTCATAAGCACCATCTGCATAATTAAGATGGTCCCATAATTGAATTATATGCCCAAGCACAGTTTCAAGTGCTTAACATTTAAATAACATCTTGAACTCCAAACCCGAAATGATTGAAAAAACTGTTTTTAAGAGCAAATAGGGATGTTCATATGGCTTTTACCCTTCGCAATGTTTGTATTGTCAGCTCAGTGAAGTCAAGTAATCAAACTATCAGCAAATAACTACGTAAGTCAGCGAATGAAACCGCAGCCTAGCAACATTAACGCATGCTGGAGATTGCAAGCTGATGTCTGTTGCTACAGGATGGACCAGAAATCATCCCAGGTACGTTAATGAGCCAAAAGGAAAGTATCAGGGAGAAAAGCTGCACAGAGCCACTGGAAAACTTCACTTTTTCCCTAGCTTTGTGTTTTGACAGCGACGACAACATGATGAGAATGAAAATGTTCGGCATCCCGTGAACTGGCTGGCACATCCCACGTGCCAGACTGCACCAGGGAAAATGAGAACTCACCAGAAAAAGGCAGATGTAAAATGCACAGCAGATTTGTATGAAAGAGGAGAGCTGGGTAACAGTTTTGCATGGGTAACAGCAGAATACAAATGGAATATACATGTAGGCTCCACCTACATTCAAAGGCAATATAGGGCAGCAGAGAAGATGCTCTTGGCAGGAAACACTCCTCTTACAAAAAGTCAAAGAAAATTTCTGGCATGTTTTATTCAGGATTTTTTCTTGAAATTTACAGGGAATCAAGCATCATCTTTGATTTAACACAACTTATTGCAGGAGAACAGCTGAAGGGCCAGCATGGAAGTATCCAGCCAACTCCCCTGTCACCCCAGCAGTCAATGCCGAGCAATGCCTAACGACAGAATCGTGTGTGTCCCTGCTCACTCACTGGAAAAATAAGTACATTAAGTTTCAGGAACGTTTTAAAACAACCTAGAGGGTAGGGGAGCAATCTGATAGCCTCTCACTGTATCAAGATATTTAGGCATCTACTAAAATTTACATTTTATCATGTGATGACTGACCACTGAAGTCTGTTTGTTCTTCATTTGATAACAGCCAGTGTGAAACCATCATCATGTTTGCCTGAACCAGCTTCAAGGTTTCTCCACGTTCAGGGAACTAGATGAAGGTGATGACAAATTTATTCAATGTAAATTAGAACGGAAAAAGTCACGAGCTGATAATGAGTCAAGAAGGAAGCATGATCTGACAGTCCTGTTTTGCAGAAATTGTATAGGCCTCTATTCATTTCTTATCCAAAAGACCACAACCCCAGTTGAACGTCATCCATAAAGCAATCCCACGGCACTCACGTTGCCACCTGGAGAATTATCATATAAGTGCATTATCATTATAAGTGCATATTGTCATCACATCTGCACTTCTGCTATTTAAAACTCCATATTATCTAAACTATGCCTGCAGATAAGGCCACAGCTGATTTTAGATAACCACGTGATAATTCAGATGCCCAATGGAACGCACATTTTCTGAACTCCCTGTGCTATCAGAAAGTTAGCTGTAACCAGGAGAGTTTCTGTCAGGTGAGTCCAGCTTGGAGTACTGGCGTCAGGGGAGCAAATGAATTACACGCTGACGTAGGAACTAGAGGTTGTTTTGGGAAGCTGCTTGCAGACAGGCTACAGAAGTGACACAGAAAAAGCAGATACTGTTGCAGCCTTTCATTAGTGCTTGGCTGTAATTGTATTTCTGTGTCTGGCAGATGCTGCTCCCTCACTTCAACAGCAGTTATTGAGTTTAGTCATATTATCACAACAGCAGCCTAAATGGAGAAATCTGAAGGAAAAAAAGTTGGAGGCAAATGGCTTGAAAACAATTCTAAAGATATTAAATAGGTCTGCACAGAGAGCACTCTGTCCTGGACTAGAAGGACAAGGGCTGCACAGTATCTCTGCTGTAGCCAGAAATATTTTGAGTAATCAAGGGAAAAGTTCATATGTCATTTAGCTAAGAATTTAGACTCACAGAACTCAGAAATTACAGAGGTTGCAAAGTACCCCCAGAGGTCATCTGATCCGAAGCCCACTCAGAGCATGCACAACTTATAGATATTTAATGCAGATACTTGGTTTATCTCAAAAATAATCATTCCATCAGCTCACAGGATAATTCAGAATGACAGGAAGCTTGAGAGGTTTCTTGTCCTGTTAGGCTGCCCCAAGCAGGGTGAGCTATAAGGTCAGGCTTAGAATTTTATTGTCTGATCTTTAAAATCTTCACGGCAGAGAACACACAACTTTCCGGGCAGCCTGCTCCACTGCTTGTCTTCTTGTTGTGAAAATGTTTCCTCTCACATCTAGTCAGGTCTCTCTCTTCTTTTTCTTTTTTTTTTATTGCCTATTGTCTCCTCTCTATGAGAAAAATTAGGAACTCCATGGAACTAGAAGATTTTATATGTCATTAATGCTCAGAAGATTGCTGAGGGGAGGAGGAGAAGGCTGTAAACTTTTGGCTTTGTTTTTTGAGAATATGCTGTGGAAGACTTGGAAATGGAAAACTGTAATTTCTTTATTCTGGCATTTATATACTGTTTATATCACTGTTTAATGATACTTATGTATGTAACAGTGAAATGTATACAGTACAAAATATTGGAAGTGATGTACATTCTTTAGAGTAATTTTGTATTTCTTCTTTTCAAAATACTTTGTACAGCTTTGTGCTTCACTGGATTTTCTTTGAGCTTGTAACAGGCTCTGAAAGTATACAATAAATAATTGGTAGATCCTATTTTAAGCTCTTAAGTACTGAGATTGAATTTACAATTACAAATCAAAACAACCACTTCAAACCCGGCAAATTTGCCATGGAGATGTTTCCCAAGCAACCACACCAGAAGAGCTATGGGAGTACCAACTATGTCACTATTTGTCCAAGAAGAAACAGCATTAAAAAAGCAGGTTAAGAAGGAGAATCACTCGAAGTAAAATTTGTCTTGCTGAATTTTGGGAAGACTGATAACAGTAGTTTCTGAAAGTACACATACAACTGGTCACTTCATATGAGCCTATTTTAAAAATGTTAGTTGGTGGTGTAACTATTAGATCAAGTTCCGATTTTAACCCAAGTTGGATCTTTGGATCTGTAAGTCTAATTTTTCACCACTTTCGAAGTTACTTTATCTGTCAAGATGTCGAATTCCAGGCACCAAACCGAATATTGGTCTTTCCCAACTACAATGTGGAGTTGTCCCTGATAATCAGACATTAGGATAAGGAGGAGAAGGCTGTAAGCTTCTTTTGGCTTCATTTTATGAGAGAGGAATACAACAAACCTCTGATTCAATATATATGTACCCCAGGAGTATATCTACCTCTAGCAACATCAAAAACTATGGGCATTCTTTCTTGTTCAGCAAGCCACAGGGATCTCAACAATAAAATTTAGGATCAACACGCCAGAGCTCTTGTTCGATTAGTCACTATGCAAAGCAAATTTCCTCAAGGTAAAGGATTTATTGAAAACTGATACTTGCCAGACCTTTGAAAAATGAGATTTCATCCCCCTATGTTATTTTGCTAAACAATCTCTTAAGCAGTAGAGATTTTAGGATACCTTCTTGTTCCAGGAAACAGAGCACTGTGAAGCACAGAGCATATAACTGTAATAAAAAGGCTTCTGGAATGTTTGTTTTAATATGGCTGCAGAGGGGAAAGTGTATTACTTAGGTAGGAGAAATACTGGCTAAAGAACTTGGTGCCCATTGCCCACAGCTCACTGTCTCGAGCCGCTGGGCTCGCTGTTTCAGCTCCGACTGGCTCTGCACCCCTATGCATTTGGGCACAAGGAGAGCTGCGAGGCAGGTGGGAAGGATGTTAAAGTACATCCCAGTTTCTAGACAGATCAAGGTTAGTCTAAATCCTACCAGACAGGAATTCAAAGTGACTGCAGCTACTGGTTACTTGAAAACCTCCACCTTAAACTGAAACCCTTTCCATTCTTCTGATGTTCGAATGCAAATTGCATAGATAATAATAATTAATCAAACATGGTTTCATAGCTTGCATGGATTGTTGCCCCAGTGAAATGAAAGTTTCATTTTACTGTTAAAAAATAAAAATCAGACCCCAGTTAGCCCTTTCTGGAAAACTGTATAGCTCTCTAAAATCCAAACAGACCTAAAATTCTCAGAAGACACTTGGTCCAGATCAAAAGAAGAATGTATGAGGACAGGCTACAGCAGCTTACTAGCATCCTCTCTTCTGGCAACTTCCAACAGGATAAGGAAAATGACCTTGTCCAAGAAAAGCTGCTGTTCCACACAACAGATGTGTAGTCGGACTTGTATAATAATGTTTGCTACCCTGTTGGTTACAACTGCACGTTTAGGAAAACATAAGATTTGTGAAAACAGTAATTTAAGAAAAATTCAACTGGGACTATTTATGTGGGGAATGTTAACTACTTAAGATAGTTAATTATAACAAAGGCTTCAGAAACAATATTTTAAAGCAAACCAATAAGTTTTCAAAAACAACAAACAAAACCAACACCCCATGCACCAAACAAAAACCCCAACTTATTATCTAACCATGTCTGGTTATTTTCTTGCCAAATATAACATTGGCTTACCCACCTCTGCCTTATATAACAGAAATAGAGAATTCTACTGCTACCTGGGTGGTCTAAAACTTGTTTCGATTTATTCGTTTACCATAAACCAAAGTCAAACGGGGCAGTTGAGGATGCCGTCATGCCTGAGCCAAGCATTGCCTTAACCAGCTACAGCGTTTCTGACATCAGTGGCACTGTCTGCAGACGTAAGGCACTTAGAGAAAACAATTCTGCCAGAGCAAATACGCAGTAATACGCTGTGTTGTGACTACATTTAAATAGAAGGACAATGGCATTTCTGAGAAACTCCGATGAGTCTTATCCAAAGCCTCAAATAACAATATTAACTGATCTGTAATTTCACAGTAATTATTTTTCCCTTCTAAACACAATCTCAACAATTTCATACAGAACCCACAACGCCCTTTTCCTGATTGTGTCCTGCCTTACCATAACGCCAGTATGTTTTCAAAAATGCTCCAGCTCAAGCTTAGGAAATTACACTGGCTACCAGGATACCTTAATCAGAGCATTCTTATCAGTGTGTCTCCAGACTAATAAGCAGAAATCTAATCTAGAGCCCACTGAACACTAAATTAGATCTAATCATCGGGCATTCTTCCAACTGTTCAACAGCAGGTCTAAAACCAAACAATGTCGTTTATTTTTTTGGTATCCATTAAAACACTACAAGCACTCCCGTAATAGCTGCTTCAAAGCCATGATCAGAAAAGCGTGCAGACATTTGTTTGCATTTAAGGCATGATCATTACTGCTCGCCTTGCCAAAAGCTGCTTTACAACACCAAGACACTTTCAAGAAGACCCTGAAAGGCTCCAGAGCCACAATACTCTGGGAATCCCATAATGGGGCAAACTAATTACATCTTCTCAGCTTAAGAATGTTTAACCGGTTGAAGCACAACACCTTTTAATTGTTCTCTGGCACACAGATTTTGTCCCCTTAAAAAAAAAAAAGACATCGCTTGAGCTAATTCAGACCATAAAATTACTGCATTTGGGCTTAAACGCAATTTGTTGAAAGCCTGCACTTCATGCACACAAGGACTATTGTACAAAGGTGCTGAAAACTGCTTAATGATTTATGCAAAAGTTCTAGATGCACATTTTTATAGGACAGTGTGAGCCATGTGTTGAGTGATTTTTATTTTACACTTTCTACTGGGAAAAATCCTATCTATAAAATGTCCTGGATTAGATACAGCAACTGTGTATCACCATGAAGTCGTAATCACAAAATATTTGGTTGGGAGGACTGTGATAAAGCTCAGATTTTAAATATATTGAGCAATGTCAACTATTTTGTAACTTAGTTCTTCTCCATGACCATGGATTTCTAATCTAAATCAATGCTTACTTTTATATATCATGCAAGGGCAGCAAAAGCTGCAGTCGTAGAGTGATGTATTCAGTGGTAACCCTGAACTTTTGTATATTCCTTTCTGGTTATGTCAAGACAATCAGAAAGACTTAAAATAACATGAATAAAATCTGCTTTTTGTTTTATAGTTCATATAATTTACTGTTTGGGGGTGGAGGGCTGTGTGTGATATAAACCAGGATTGACTAATTTATCATATATCACCTTTACTTTCTGAATGCATCATCCAGGACGGGAATCAGAATGTTAGGAATACATATTAAACACATTTCAGCTTTGCTCTCTCTACTGAATGGCTGAAACAGGAGCTGATTTCCTTCTCTTGGAAGGAGTTACTTCTTCCCAGTGCAAATAAGAGGACACGAGTGAGTGAAATTTGCAGTTTCACATTTGGCTTAGGAAATTTTTTCTGCTACACTAATAAATACTTAAGAGTGTATGATATATACCTTACCTTGATCATGGCTCTGCCATGGTACAATATATTCTGAAACCATTTCTCTTGCAACTAAGCCACATTTGGCATAATAAGAATATTTTGCATGCCTCACAACAATAAGATCTTTCATATTGCCATTTTGCTTGCATGTGCAGGCACTTGCAAGACAGTAGCTCTCAAGGATCTAGATATTCAACCACAAATGCTAAATGTGTAAAAATAATCAGATGGCACCCCCACCCACACATCAGTCAGTGACCAAATTTCCTTTCTTGGGCTTGGACCAAGTCTCTCATTTTCTCCCCACACAAAAATCCTCCGTGTCTATTATCCATTATACACACAGTGCTATAAAACTGTTGGCACCTCCCTTTTTTTTTTTTTTTTGTTAAAAGCCCTTGCCTCCCTCTTGTCTGACACAGAAACAACAGGCTAGCACGTCCCAGTAAGTTTTCAATGGAAAAGGTGATTATATTAATGTCAGAAGCTGAAAAAAACAGTAAATCTAGCTAGTCTGTAAAATAAAGAAGAGGAAGGGATCATACTCACAGCAGCTGCAGAGACACAAGATCATCAAAAAGGCCCTGGGGAATCTCTGTGATCTTGTTTCCATAGAGCACTCTGAAAGATTCAGGAAGACAAAATAAATCTTAAGTAACAGACCAGTTTAGTGTCCTCCCACATCTCCACATTATCATCTTTATTGATCTTGTGCACCATGCCCAGGGTCTGTGGGCATTTCATTTAACTACTGATCTCATTTTCTTTTCAGGGAGCACATGGCATTAAATGAGTCGTTATGATTCAGGCTTCGTCTGGTGTTGGAAAGCATTTTTAATGTAGAAACTGGACATCATCCAAAAACTGTATCTGATACATTTTTCATTCTGTTAAGGGAATTTTCTTCCATCCTTTTTAGAAAGATTTTAACCGTTGAGAAGTACACTGTCTGATGTAAAACCCTATAATTCTCCTTAGTGATACTGAATTTAAAAGCCAGGGAGCACAAGCTGGTTGGAGATAAAATTTCATATAACTGAATCTCTTAAGACATAATAATTGGCATGAAATGTGACACAGGCATCATTGGATAAAATATTATGGCTTCACCAGATGCTGTTACAATTTCAGCTAGCTAATATAAAGAAATTTAGCCGAGACTGGAAATAGCCATATATTTCAGAAACTCAAACATAATTTACGTATAGTTTAGTTATAAAAATCAGTGAAGATCTACTAACACATATGAAAGTCACTTTATATATTTTATATATTTATTCAACCATAAACACATATGACCTGATATCAGTTTTAATATGAAAAACATTTCCTTTTTTAATGGAAAAATGCACATATAGTACCCTCGGAGACTGAACTAAAGGGAAAAAACAGATGAAACCACCATTGTGCTAAGATATGTTACCTAGGGATCAGAGCAAGATCACGTATGACAGGAACGCCCGAATTCCAATCACAGCTAAAGCATTTACTCATGTCATTTCTGCAAGTTGATAAAATTTCTCAAAACCAGAAAGTGGGTTAGGGGCTTACTTGGGTAAAATGGAGAAGATTAGACTCCCTCTGAAAATTTTACGCCTTATCTAAACATTTTAATAGACTTTAAATTGGGACAAACAGCCTTTATGTAATTTCTGTGGCCTACCTAGGACATGGTAAACGGTCATAAACCAGTTCACACCAAAACTTTGAAAATTTTGTTGCTTATGTGTCACTAAACTGGTTAATTCCCCAACTTTTAAACGTGCAATAACATGCTAGCAATGAATCAAATGGCCATGTGAGGCTTGGATGCTGGCTGAAATTGTGTCTTATCATGTCTTTCAACATTTAAAACATTATGGTGAGTTGAACATACTGAAAAACAAACACTTAGCACGACGGACCATTTACAATCCCCTCGGCCTTCCCCGAGTATTGCCACTTCAGTTTTCTCTTCATCAGTCATCGGCAGGACACCCCCTCTGTGGGAGAGTTCCCAGAGCAGCTCATTTCTGAGCCTAAGCAAAATGAATCTAAATAACATAACGCCACTTAGAGTCAAAAATCTAAACCTGAAACTTCATTTGTCATTACTTTTGTAGTTTAGCAGGAAATGTATTGGTACCCAAGAAACTCAGGATCATTTAGCATTATATTTTCTCTAAACAAATAAAATATAATTTCTCTTTATCTATGGCAGAGTCAGGAAGCTGGTTTTACTGTACTATTACGGGTAATTTTTCTAATTCTTTCCCAATTTCAGCTTCAGAAGACACACACAACTTCCTACTTCAACAAAATGTATGTAAATTTTTATACTGTACCCCAAACTAGACGGAAATGATGGCTGAATTTTGAAAGTTCTAGCAGGTATATTTAGATATCAGTTTCAAAATATAAGATAACATTCAAGTCGCTAAATTTCACTGAGTTCTGAAACAATATCCGAACAGCTGACTCACTTCTTTCCGACCAAAGCAATTGATATGAGTACCTGTATCAGGAAGCAAACCCCAAACTTCCACAAATAAAGTACTTATAAGAAGTTAAAACACTATGTTAATAGAATCCAGTCTATTTCCATATGAGTTTCCACTCCTTCTGAACAACATTTCTTTAGCAAGTGCATCATCTGTATAGAAAGTTTAGATCATAAGCTCTGTGAGGTTAGATGAACATCTGGCTTAGTTTTGTGAAGCAGACGGATCAAGGCTGATCACTAACGCATAATGCTGCAGCATATAAGTTCATAAGCTAAGCTTTACAAAACACCCATGGAAAAAAGCACAAAAATCCCCACTCCAGACTAAGGGTTATTATGGTTTCAGAAGTAAAACGACTTATGTAAAGTAAAACCTTAAAGAAATCTTGACACTCACAGCCAGTGCAGTTGTTACTTATAGTACCACTAAATACAAATATCAGAATAAGACTCTCACTAGTGAAATTTTTCATTTATTTTTAACTTAGGAGTCAGAAGGTCAAGGTGCAGTGTTGCACTGAATTTAAAACCTTGGATATGTGTGTACATCCTGTTCATTATTTTCAGCAAAGTAAAACAGATGAAAACAGCTTACAAAACAAAACAAGGCGTCAATTTTTAGAAGCCATCAAAAGAAAACAAGCGTCGCAGAACCTAATTGGGCTTATGTGCACGCGGCACATTAACAGTCAAACAAATTAACAGCTAAACAAAAGTCAGTATGAGAGCTCAGGCACTTGTCTCTAATTCATATTCATGTTCAGCGCTGCACAGAGCCAAATTAGCTCCTGCCATTGTCTGCCTGCCATGCCAGAGCTCAAGGCAAATGCTCCTGCAGAAAGAAGTGAAGAGGAGGGGAGGCACATCAAGCATTGCATCTCAGGTCTGAGCTCCCATTTCCATTCGCTCCAATAAAAAGCACGGAAAATTTTGTTTCCCTCTGAGTTCCCGCTTTTTCTGTTTGGAGACAAGAAAGCATACTCATACCAACAAATATGAATACTGGTCAGGTTTTTGATCCAAGGTGCTTTTGTTCCGAATATACCAACTGCTGCTCTCCTAAGAGAGCTGTGAATGCTTGAGCCTGCCGAAAAGCCTGGCCGGGTCAGCCACACGGTGTTACCGCAGCCCTTTGCTCTGCGTTCTGTCACCGTGCCCATCTCACCAGCATGCACCACGTTTCCAGCATAGCAGCTTCGGGGAAAAAAGAAACCAAAGAAAAACCCCAAACAAAACAATAACTTCAACTGACGATATAACAGGAAACTCAGCCAAGTCAGTTCAAGAACTTCATTTAAATCTCCAGTGTTTTTTTACCAACGGAGATCAATTTTAGGAGATTTGCCTACAGCACCACAAGTTTAAAAATGTATGTTCATTGCATCCCTCACATACATTGCAGGACATGCAGGTGTCCTGGCTACTGTGCAAGGCTGGCACAAGAATAAAACCCTCCTTCTAGATTTTTTTTGATTTTTTATTAAAAAGACATTTAAAAAGTTAACATGTAATAAAAATAAAATCGTCTCAGTAGACAAAAGACAGCGAATCAGCGAATCAGAATGACATTTATTAGAACATACACAAAAAATGACTTAAATTTTTCTTGTGTGCTCCTGATTGTTCATTTGCTTCTCCACTTTTCTGGGAGACCAAGTTAGCTACAGGCCTGACAAATACCATTTGCTGACAGGTGGCCTAGCTATTACTCTAAACATGATGTGCATTTTGGGTGGAAAAACCCATGACCTGTGGCTTAATTCTGTATTCACAATGCTAATCTTAAAAGTAGCAACTAGGGACTGAGCCAGAACTGACTGAGAGACCAACAGGTATCCTTTTTCTTATTGTTCCTTTCTTTCTCTTCTCACCACACACGAGAGGCTCTTTCACAAAGATGGAAACCAGTCTGAATGGAGAAAACAGTCATAAAATTGTGTAAACCCAGCAGGCTTGCCACTGCGTGAATTTTATTCTTGTCTGTTCCACAAGGCAGGTATATCTAATACCAGAAGGACCAATGTGAAGAATCACTCACTGGCTTTTTTTAACTCAAGCAAACTTTTCTCAAATGTTCTGCAGGTGGCTTTATAGTATCAGCAACTTGCTGTCACAGCCCAGGTGAAGCCGAGCCATCTGAAGGTTGTATTCTCAGCGATACGTGGAGGCATCGCCTTGCCTTTTAGCCTAGTTCACAGCTAAATGCTTCCTGCATGGCCACAAACCACAAGCTGCAGTTCTGCAGAAGTACCTGGCAGACTGGCTCACAACTTGGGGCAGCTTTCAGGCTGCCATCAATCTTCCAAACAATGGGAAGGACAATACGCGTAAAGCACAGAGCCCTGGCTGCACTGCAGGCACTGGAGGAGATCCCTGGAAGAAGCACCCTATTCAGCCGAAGAGCTGTTACGGATCTGTAGTAAGAAATTATGCAAATACATAGAAGCCCTAATGAGGTGTGGTGTTTCTTCAGCCTGATTCTGGCATCGTATTTTAATATTCCCCCCCAAATATATCTATTTAAAGACACGATTACAAACTAGATTTCCAGTTAAGCCATTAATTGTTACTACTAAACTTTGATTTTGCACATTAATCCAACTGATGCTCTAAGCTGTTAAAAATAAAGATTAAACAGTGAAATTAGTCATTGCATAGATTCATCTAAAAGCTTGGGACATATCAGACAAAGAAAGGGTTGAAAGCACACACAGCACCAAGTATGTTATCTCGGGTGAGAATATAATTAAGCATGTAACAGAGACAGGGGACTTGAAACATGAAAGTCTCACTGTTCCTCCACGGTTTCTAGATATTCTGACCTCTTGAACAATTTTAGAATTCAGGAATTTGCAAGGACTTCACCAACACATGGCCTTTCATGCGCGCTGAAGTTTAGCATCCTTCTAAACACACACCTTCTAAGGGTGCGAAACAATAATTGCTGTCTTGTCTCTATTTTACAGTTTGTCAGCCTACACCTTGCTTGCAAATGTAGTTGTGATTTAGCTGCTTCGTTAAGTCAGATCCCGGAACACAGAGATTTTTCCCTTGAAGGTGACACAGAACTTCTTGGAGGTATGAAAGCCTAGCCCAGAATCCCTTACTCCAGACCATACGGCTTCCCGCTAAGTGTTCC